CTCACTTTTTTATTGTGAGCGTCCATATGTGTCATTTTATTATCTCAATGGGAGGCTAATTTCCTTCTTTTAAAAGCTGTGATGGAGTAAGAAAATACTAGGAGTCAGGAGACTCAATCTAAGGTCCTGCTTCTTCTCTGTGGTCCCCAGGCTAGTAAATTGTAGAGAAGAGGCTCACACTCAAGTTCATTTACAGTTGCTCAATTCTCAGAGTTTAGCTATCAGAGACACATTAACTACATGGAAGTAAAGTACTCTCCTCTAAAATTCTCTATCAAATATTTTCTATCTTTTACCTACTAACCAGGAATGATTTATATTTTCATTTGTGAGGTTACAGATCATTTTCCTGTTTTTCTCATTTATTCTATGGGTTGTGCATTTAGTTTGCTATGCCGTGGCACTGCAGAGGAGAGAAGGATTTTATAGTTCTAATTGGGGGCAAAAGAGTGCCCTCTCCATTGGGTGGGCTTATGTGGGTGGTACCGTCATCTGGTGCAGTTCTTGTGTGTATTCTTCTAGGCTGTAAGAGTTCATACCATAATCTATTATTTGGGGTACCTAAAGCCATACCATCATTGATATCAACCTGCCAGATTATTTCATTTCTCCTTCTTCAGGCTCAAGCATTGATTTTTCTCAAATAAAGAAAAAAAACAATCAAAGAACAATTTATTCCATTCAGAAGACACTATGTTTCCATTGTCTGTAAAAGGTGACTGGCATAGACTCTTAGAAGGTAGTAGATTATTTATTGTGAAGCTCTGGCAAGAAATCCTAGCCTGGTAATAGACATTGTGGCTGAAAAAGCTACTGGTGTAGGCATGAAACAGAGGGTATATGAAGACAGAAAAGGAGTTCTAAGTAGAGAACTTAAAAAATATGGCATACTAAATCTTTTACGCTGAGAGTGTTAGCCTGTGTTCTAATATATTTATAATTTAATAATGACTTGGGACAATTTTTACATGGCCAAATTTAAAATAAGACTACAAAGTCTATTTGGGGGTATATTTAGAATTATAGCATTCCATTTCTCCTTAATGCCTGTTATGAGTAATTGTCCTTTTAAGGCTTATAGAAATGATGCATCTCTAAAAGAGCAGGAAATGGAAGAGGGATGACATTTATTAAATTTTTATTGTTATGTGTTATGTGGTATCTCCATTTATCCCTGTGACAACTTAACATGTAGGTGATCTTACTCTGATTTTATAAATCAGATTTGTTAAATATCCTTTACCAAGGATATATACAATTAATAAGTGCAATTTAGTAACTTAATCCAAAGCCATATGTTCTATTCTGAAATGTCATTCCATCTCTACTAGCTAAAAAAAGGAATGAGGGGGAAAGATTGTGTGTATAGATAATATCAAGAGAGGAATTATTTCACTGAGCACTGAAAGAGTTTGTATCTTAAAGAAAACACTATAAAACATGAAAATAAGGAAAAGTGACATATAAGGAAACAAGAGTAATTTGGGGTAGGAAATCTGCTTTTAATATAAACTTCAACTTGATTTAGTTATATTTACACTGTGTTCCAAATTATTGTCTACAGGCAAAGTCATCCAGAAAATTAAGGGAGGCATATATGATAAACATAAAAATTAAATCTTTGACAGTATAAAACAAATAACATTTAGTAATTACATTAAGCATGTTTCAATCCCATAGTAAAGTATTAAAAATAGAACTGAACTGTTCAAAGCATGCTGTCAAATTTCTTCAAAATGGCTTGTTTTGAAATGTTGGGTAAATATCCCAAAACTGTATATCAATTTTAGTATAATAAAACATTCTTCAGACCAAAAACATAGCTTTTTTAAATACTCTTAAACATAAATCATACATGACTTTTTCTTTCATATTAGGACACAAAGGATTATCCATTTGTTAACATTTAAAATAATTTTCAGATAGTTTCTACTAGCTATACATAGTTTTATAATTTATAAATTGCTTCCACATACTTAATTCCAAAAAGTAAGCTATTAAGAAAAATTGCCTTAATATTCCTACTTCACATCAAATTGGTTAAGTGACTTTTAAAGATCATTCAAGAAGTGATCATGCTGGAAGCCTCATTTTCTTATTATTCAGGGCAGTCATAATAGATAAGCAGACAAGTATATGTTATAAATGGTTTACTGTATACAGAAGAAACCATGATATGTTCAGTGACATTTCCTATGTTCAATGCGGTGTTCCTTTGTAGTAATGATTGTTCAGTCAGAGCCTCAATCTGTGGTACATTATTAACAGGGTATTGACATCAGTCCCTACAGATGCATTTAGGATGCATTGACTCAAGTAGTTTGTGTCTTTTTTTTTTTTTCACTTAATCAACCTGAACCTATAGCACTCTAGAATAAAAGAAGAGGATTCTAACCTGTAAGCAAAAACATTATCTTCATTTCTAAACCTCACAGCTACTCTCTCACTTGCTTGTTTTTAACTCTTCTAAAGCTGCTTTATTTCTGATATTCCTACAAGTATGGGAAATAATGGTCTGTCCCCTGTGTATGTAGTCCTACTTGGCAGAGGGAAGCAGAGTAAGGCTGGACACCTAAGTCAATTGCCATGCAAGAACAACATTATGCAAAAGTTCTGTTCAGAAGCTTGAGATCAGTTGATTCTATCTTTTATTCCTGTTATCCTTGGCTACCCAGCTTCTATCGAAATAAATTATTCTCATATATTTGTGTTCTTAACCACTGTTGATGTATTTCCAGGATCTTTCTGCTGTACCTGATGGAAATGGAATTTCGTTTGCACACTGACTGCCTTTCAGTCTGAGAACACTGTCCATGCCTTTTTTGCCTTAATTTGAAGTGGGTCCTAGGAGACATTGCTTCTCTTTTTGCCTTCACCAGGGTAGCTGCTCCTTTCTTCAGTCGCTGTGTATTCAACACCCTGACATAGCATTAACATTCTATATGAAATTCTTCTGTTTACGTCCATGCCATTTATCCTGCTGTCCTGTTTCTTTCCTTGTCACTATAATCTTAACAATCACTTCTGTTACTTCATGTGGGTGCTTATATTTGGGTCATTGTTTTCCTGTCCACCACAGCTCTTATCATTAGGAAATTTTAATTCCTACTTGTGACTTATCTAATGTTCTTTCATCCTAATTCCTTGGCCTCTCAAATCTAGTGATATTCTAAGGAAATGTATGATTATTTTTGTCAAATGTGAAATAGCATCCAACTCTAAAGTCTTAGATTACTATAAGCTATGCTCTGTCCCAAGCCTCCTACCCTTAAGGGTCTCTATTTCCTGATAAATCTATGCTTCAGTCTTGTTTTGGTACCTACACACTTCAATACTCTTTTTCTCCAAGTATGTCAGACCACAGCTGACTTCATCCCTTACTCTGAAGTCCATACTATATACAGCAGTGATTCTCCACCTGTCCACAAACCAGAGCAGCACCATCTCTTGGGAATTTGTAAGAAATGCAATTTCCATGGGTCCCACCCCACATCTAGTAAGTCAGATACTCTAATAGTGGAGCCTGGCATCCTGAGTTGAGAAATTGAGAACCATTCATATAAAGCATTAATGTAGCTTTCCTCTCCTTTAATATCTTTAGGTGGTAAAGAATACTCATATATCATGTCATATTTTATTCAAAACCCTTCCATGTGTAAGATTTTAAACATTTCCCAAGTTCTCCAGCTTTATTCAGCTTCTACTTTCCATATGCAATCACTGCCTTCAGTTCAAAGGCTTTCTGTAGTTCATTCACTTAAATTTGAGTACTGTAAAACTGTCAAATGCTCACTGCTTAATGACACTTCTGATGGTGTTTCCCTTATAACCATCCTCTCTGGAGGGTGCTGAGCAAATGCTAACTTGCTCAAGGTATATCTATAGGAAGGAGTGGAGTTAGAATTTGAACTGAGGTCTATCTGAATACAAAACCCAGGCTTTTTCTATTTTGCTGCTGAATTATACAGGCAGCAGCAATTGCATTGATATGCTTCTGTCACTCTAGTTGAAGCAGTACTTACCAATGGCTCTTTTAATTTTTAAAATTAGAATAAAAAAATGAGTCATACATGAAAATCTATTATCAATAACTTTGATACATATCAGGTTGAATACTTACCTTTAGTGTAGAGCTTCTAAAAATGTTTAATATGCTGGTGTGTGTTTTGATCCTCTGAAAAGCAGAATAGTACATCATTGTCAAAAGTTCTTTGACCAAAGGACCAGTTGTTGTGGCTCATCTATATTAACACCCTGTAGGACTTCCATTCCAAGATCTGCTTTAAGAAACTCGGACTTAATCTATTTCTTCTCCAATAAATTGCTTACCTCATTTGATTCCTTTATTTCATCTGCTCTAATCCTTTGTTTTACTTCCCCACTCTTTTAAATTAAAATACTCATGTCCCCTGTCCTTTTCCTTTAGACACTGCTCTTCTGCCCCAGGGATGCATTCAGAGGGATTAGGTAGCACATAATGTTATGTGCCAGCCATTATAAATATAGTATATATGTATATGTATATGTATATGCACTACTTTGTATAGATCTCATAATGACTTTGTGATGATGACATTAAACTACAAGTGTTACTGCATCACAATACTGTGAAGTGCGTAGAGCTTCACAGTATGATGAAAAAGCTGTGTTAGGGTACCATCTGTAGAACATCACTTTCCTGCCTCAGCCATGTGGGACGGAAGAATTATGAATGTGATTTATGTGGGATCTTCCTGCAGTCCACATATATATTTGTGATGCTATCTGGGGGATGTTTTGCCCCAGTTTTATTGAAAAATCAGCAAAAGTCTAAAATGAAATTGACTGAATTTTAGAATGAGAATATGCACACTATTAAACAGTTAACTTACTGGTAATTGCAGCTCAATCTGTACTAAAAATGTATTAATCTGCACTAGAAGTTGGTTACACCTCTAGGGGATTGTGTTTAACATTTTTTTTCCTGCCAGCATAATATCTCTTTTTTTTCCCTTGTGCAGGTTCTGCTGATCTTCTTCTCTGTGTCCCATGCTCTTCTTGTCCTACTCTGATCTACTCTGGTATGCTTGCTCAGGGCACCTAACAGCAGCGTCAGGTAATGTGGGGATTATCTGCAACTTGCTCAGAATTTAGACTTTTACTATACATAGGCCTCATGACCTATAATGATAGAGATTTTAGTCCAAGTACCCTGCGAATGTTTCCATTTTCTTTTCATGGTGTTCTGTGGATCTCAGGCTCCTTACAGATTCTATATTCTCCTATCCTGGGGAAGTGGGGTGGGAATTTAAAGCCCCTTCTCCTTGGCAGGAAAATTAGTGTTGGATATATGTGAGAAGAAAACATATTTCCCCATGTGCAGACCATGGACTCTATAATAGCACTACATACACCTGGGAGATATGATATCTCAGAACAACTTCACATCCATAGACATGAGGCTACTACATGAACTGGACATATAAAGATGAAAAATTCACAGTATCTTCTCTAAGTATGTCACAGACAGAAGCAAAAATTTGAGTTTCTTCTTAACATTCATAGAATCACAGAATATCAAAATTAGAATTTTAGGACCATCTGCTTGTCTTCCAATCTAATACTGTTCTGTTCTCTGCAGTGCCTCTGCCAAAGGGCCAACAGCCTCTACACAGACACCTTGAGTGTGGGAGGTATGCTACTTCCTGTGGCTGCTCATTCAGTTTTGTTCTGCCCTAACTTCTTGTTGACCTAATAGTTCCATATTAAGAAACCACCTTAAAAATAATAACTGCATTGCACCACTGTGTAGTTATCAGAGTATTATTATGCCCATTGAACATGTTTTATAATGACGTGGAAACTATTTTATATTAAAACAGAAAACATATAAAATATGAAAATGACCTAATGACCAAAAAAGGAGGATTGATTTAAAAACTATAATCTATATAATGGAAGACTGTGTATCTTATTATGAAGGATGAGATATATATTAACTGGATATATACATGTATTTATTATTACTGATATTAACTGGATCCACATATCTATATCTATTCTGATGTGGAAACATTTTTGCAATATTGTTATTGCAAATAGTAAAGAATGAGTCACAAGACATTACATTAAGTATGATTCATTTTTTTGTTATATATAATGCATAGACATATATACAATCATATATATACATGTGTAGAATACTGTCTGGATGATTACAAACAAAAATGTCTTGAAAAGGTAGATGCGACCCCATGTTCACTGCAGCACCATTTACAATAACCTAGATATAGAAACAAGTATCCATTGATGGGTGAATAGATAAAGAAAATATGATATATGTATACAGTGGAATATTATCAGCCATAAAAAAGAGTGAAATTTTGCTATTTACAACAACATGGATGGACCTTGAGGTAATTATGCTAGGGAAAATAAACTAGACAGAGTGACAAATACTGTACAATCTCACTTATTTGTGGAATCTAAAAAAAATTAAGCTTGTAGACACAGAGAAGAGATTGGTGGTTGCCAGAGGCAAGGGATAGACAAAATAGGTGAAGGGAATCAAAAGGTACAAACTTCCAGTTATAAAATAAATAAGTCATGGGGATATAATGTACAGCATGGTGACAAAAAAAGAAAGAAAGAAACTAACAAAACCAAACCAAACCCGTGTATTTCTTAAGTTGTGAGAAATATTCAAAATCTAATTTAAAAGAAATTATTCTCTTATTTTGCTTCAAAATCTGAATCCTCAGATTTGATATTGTTTTTTTCTGGTTTTGTCTTTCTGTTGTCACAGACAAAAATTGTACTTCTCTTCCACATAATAACTATCAGTGTAGGAGTACAAAGATCGCGTTCTCTTCTTTAGTCCTTCAAATGTTCTTTGTATGACCTAGTAGTCAGAAGGCCCAAACAAAGTGGTATTTAAAGCTGCAACTTAAAGGAGTATAGGAGTCAGATTAGGGGCTGGCTGGGGTTGGTTGAGATGTGTAAAGCATTCCAAATGGGGGAAAGGCACGTGCAGAAATGACGTGACTCCCTTCTTCCCTCCTCTCCCTCTCTTCCATCAAACAAATATTTCTTGAGCAAACACCATGTGCGAAGTATTCTTTCAGGTCCTGTGAGTAATTGGGAGATTGACATTCTGCTTTCAAAGTGTTTATAGGTGAATCAGAAATATTAAATAGAACATATCAAGCAGGAAAAACACATAAATATAATACAAAATATCCTAGAAGCATGGATATGTCCCCTTGCCATCCTAATCATATTCTTCTAAGAAAATAATTAAAGAATTATTTCCAATCTAGCAGTGTGGACAAATAGTTTGTAAGCTAAAGTAGGAATTGTGAAGCCTGACCTACCTTATGCCACTCTAGTTTTCTAAATTCAGTTTCATAATTCCTTTCAGGATAGTAATTGTGTACACATCTTGGAAGTGTCCTAATGATTTCTCACTGTCCATATTTGGAGAGAAGCCGATCTATTTTAATAGTCCAAGATGTTTTTAGAATATATACTTCTACTTACATATACAAGAAAACATTTTATAGAGATAACCAGAAATTGACATGTTGGCTGCAAAGAATGGATAATAGAAGTAGTAGTCTAAGGTGAAGGCCACTGTAAAAGTTCATACAGAGTAAGGGAAAGCACTATAATCCCTCTTTCTTTTTAAAATACTGCTCTATAGATATATCATTAAGCACAATTTTCTTTTGTTCTGTTTCTCCCCTACAGGTCTGTGAAGCAGGCAGAAGAAATTGCAAGTGGTCCTTAAAGAAATTGCAATTATTCAAATCATTATGTATAGTTCTAATTTTATTTACTACATGTAATCATTTAGAGAATGATTATTTTTATAATATCAATAACAAACAAGTACTGTTGCAACCAGGGGGTGCCTAATCAGTGTGTAATCAGAAAATACTAACCCTGGCAAAAGATTCTGGGCTGATCAGGATGCTTGCTGCCTTTTGGCCTGGTTAGTGTCCTGGGTTTAGACTACTTTATACCTAACTATTAAGATTACTCTTTGATATTTAAAGATTGCTTGAATTCAAATAATTTTGCTTAAAATTTTTCTGTATTTTAACTTGTGTAGGGTTTTCTACTTCTTATATTTTTATAATATTTTCTCATTTTTTTAGATTAATCAACATTATATTTACCAACATGTGCCAAGATGTGCCATTTAGGTCTCTCTGGGAATTATAGCTCTTTGGTATCATCACCTGTATATGTGTTTTGTGCAGCAGCAAGAGACATATTCTCCACCACTGCTCCTTCTTATGATGACCTTCCCAGTTCCTATCAAAACAAATAATTGGTATGTTAATTCAGTAAAGCAGATCCGTAAGGAATGAAATGCATGCCCAAAGCCTATGCCATGAAAATTGTTTGACCATTTATCCAGTTATTGAGCCCAATTAAGATTATCCATTTAAAATTTTATATATGCTCGCTTTTGAAATGTGTTATGCATTGATACTAAGTGAATGGATCTAAGTAAATCTATTGACTAGCTCTACTGTCTTTTTTATCTTTGTCTTAATCTAAGTTTGCTTTCTGGACCTTTAAGGCATGCAGCTAAATTATAAAACTGCCTGGATAACTGTCAAAGAAACAAATGTTACAGACCAGAACATGGCTAAAGAATAAACAAAAAAATTCTGATTATATGAATAAAGTCGTATTCCTAAATCAAATAATATAATAAATTTTCTTACATTAACATTTTCATGTGCATGGAAACTCTGAGACTAATTTTCACAAAACTCACTGCTTTTTACAGGTAGAAACAAATTAAAGGCTTAGAAAACAAGTATGTTTTTGAGAAGAAAAGAGAAGGCAAGAGAGTAAGTTTATGGGACCAGAACACACCTCTATTTAAAAATGCTTACCATGGAAAATATCTTTGAAAATATTCAACTAAAGATCCAAATGTTTTCCCTATTCAGAATAGTCTTTAAAATACGTCACATCTAATGCCCTCATCTGAGCCATGTTTTCCTCCAGTCATCACTTTGTCAAGGTTTGTTTGTCCTGGAGATACTCACCCTACTGAGCACTGCATCAACTTCAGGAATCCAAACCACCAGGATATCAGAGCATCTATTGCTGAAAATGCCATCCAAGACACACAAAGCCAGAAACTAATTAAAGTGGTAAGGATAGATTTTAATCACTGTTAAAACTATTGGCAATAGAACATGTCCAGCAGAACTGAACTCAACTTTGATTTGTGCAGAGGTGACTAAATGTTCTATAGGGAGAGAGAAGGAGGCAGGATGGGAAATCGCCAGGGCTTGAGCAGTCAAGGAAGTGGAAATTTATGAGGGCAGGAAGGGAGTTGCTCGGTATGAAACTCAGCTGAGTTTGCTGGCTTACACTGATGGGAGTTTGATTTCTGTCATCCACAGAGACTGGGAGACAGGGGATCCATCTTCAGGTGTTGGCAGAAACAAACAGTAGATTCTTCCGGCAGCCTTGAGTTTTCCCATACAAGAACTTAATGGGCTGGAATCATCATCCTGGGGATGCTGCCCTGACTGATACGAACTATGTTTGTGTTGGTTCAAGTCTGTTAATGTGGAAGTGGGGTAGATGAAGTCATTTATACTCAGATTCTGCATTCTTTATAGGCCATGGTTGAGGCCAGATCAAGAAGAGACCTCACAGGGGCCAGGCTAGATTTGGTCAAGGAGAGAATCTTCATCCATGCCAACTCAGCAGGGATCACACACACAATCTCTCCTTCTCTTTGACAGCTCCTATAGCCACTTTGAGGCCACAGATAGAGACCAAGGCGAGTAAACAGCTACAGCCAAAATCAGGAAATTTCTCCAGGCTTCTCCCTTATCTCCTCTGTCAAATTTCACCCATGAACTCTGAACCTCTGGCCCCCATTACACATTCTGCCTCATTTGTGTTTCTTAACACAGCTCCAAAATTATTACAGTATTAGGCTGAAAACCCCATGCAAAAGGGCTTTTAGAAGTGCTCCTTAGATTCGCCATTCCAACATCAACCCTATAGGCAGATAGTTGGGTGCCTTAAGTCATGCCACAATCCCCAGGTATCCCTGGCTGGTAGCCTCTGACCTTCTGGACAAAGAGCCCAGACACTTGCTTTCAAAGGCATCACAGTCTAGTGGGAGAAACATGCATATGAACACATAATTTAGATAAAATGGGATAATGTGCAATGAAGAAAATATTTACAAGCTAGGCTACTATGGGAGCACAGAAGAGTAGTTGTGAACCTATCTTGGATGTGGACTTGAAAAAGGAGGAATTGTGGGGTGGGTAGGAAGTAAAAGAAGTTTCCATGGAGTGCTAATGTCTTGACTGGTTCATAAAAGATGAAGTGAAGTCAATTGAGCAACAAAAGCCAGTAAGTAGGTCTTGGAGCAACAGAGAAGCCCAGGTGGACAGGAGTGTGTGTGAGTATGAGAACAATGGATGAGTGGTATTTATTACTAGAACATGTACAGTGTGATTTGCCATGGCAGTTGATAGGGCAGAGAAGTGGTCATGGGGCTGGGAAAGATCCCATATGCCATCCAATGGTCTTCAACTGTGGCTGCTCATCAGAATCACAAATGCTTAAACCTTACTCTCTGGGATGAAGATTCAGTTGATTTGAAGTGGACCCCAGTCATCAATATTTATTAAAGAGATTTTACTTGATTCTAATGAATAGGCAAGGATGAGAACCATTGCTAAAGAGAGCTACTAGGGAGTTTCAGCAGTGGAGAGAAAAGAGACACCATCAAATAGATAGTGAGGATAGCTACTCTGGCAGCTGTGAGAATAATGGCAGAAGTGGGAACCCAGGGAATTGGCAAACCTGGAAATGGGAAGACAAGATACAATTGCGGGAGCTAAAACAAAACGAAGGCTTATTTAGATTTATTAAGGCATAAGATATTAAGAATGTAACTGTGGTTAGGATATTTTGGAGGCAGGGAAGTAGATAAAATCAAAACCTATTTAAGGGCTAGAATTTTCAGCTTTTATGGAATTATTGCATATAGTTGGGGACTGTAGGTACTGTCAAGAGTGCCTCACAGGTTTATGGCTTGGGACTACGGGTGACTGTAGAACAATAAAAGGGACAACAGGGCAAATCAGCTGCTAGAGATAACTGCAGTGTAGCTATGTGGAGCTGCTTATAGGACATTTGATCTAAAATGTCCAGCAGGTACTGGGGCCAAAGTGCACAACTAAAGATACAAATTTGTCATTCATGGGCATAGTTTATGAAAACTATAAATATGGATCATTGCCTGAGGGGGACCTACATATGTCTCTCTAGGGAATACCTAAGCATAAGGGTCAGGCCAAAGAGATGGAAGGAAAGAGACAAAAAACACTGTTGAGAAAGATAAGAGATAAAACAGAGAGGGGAACAGCTACCAAGAGAAGAGGCAACCATGATTTTTATGCTGTTTTCATGGTAGTTTTTCCCCCATTAGGTTTAAATCTTTCATCAGAGACTAGACACATACACTTCCTAAGATGTGCTTAAGCAATGAGTTATTCTTCCCTTCACTGAAAGGCCAGGAAAATGTTCACCTCAGGTGGAGCCTCCAGGGATGAGACAGTCAGGGACTATGACTCTCCTCATGTAATGTCACCACAGGGTACACTCAGAAGCATGGGCCGACTATGGCTCTGCCTTCTTTCTTTAGAAAAAGGGGGTATCTCCTCCACAGGCCTCTGAGAATGTCAAGCACCCAGTCTGCTTCATCCAATACTTATTCAACAAGTATTTGTCAAACACCCACTAGGTATCTAAGAACGTATTAGGCTCTGGGGACTCAGCAACAGCAAGACAGACACGGTCTTTGCATTCATAAAACTAGGTGACTAGCATGGGTGTAACACTAATAGTCATTTGCAACAGAGCTCTAAGAGAGAAATACAAGATGCTAAGGGATCATAGCTGAGGAACATCTGATCTACACTGCAGACTAGGTTTAGTTAACCTGCAATATAGAGGATGAGGTGGTGTGTTCAGGTGAACTTGGAAAGGCTTAGGGGAATTAAGGATAGTAATGAAGGAGCTAAAGAATACTTGGAGAGAACAGCATGTGTAAAGATCCACAGACAAGGAAGAACATGGCCTACCAGGTGAAATAAACAGTTGAGTTTGGCTGGACCATAAGGTGTGTGCAGTATTGACAAGTGAGGCAGATGAGAGGTTAGGAGCTGCTGAACTGTAGAGGGTATTATAAGATATAATACCTTCAGAGGGAAGGTGAGACACAAAGGAAAGTTTTGAGCAGGTGAATAGTAAGATGTGCATTTTAGAGAAACAGCATTTGGCTTCAGTGTGGAAGATGGATCATAAAAGGACAAAATGGGGCCAGGAGAATGGTTAGGACACTGTTGCAGCAGTCAACATTAGGGACAGGGACATGCATGGAGAGAAGAGGAATCTAGACAACTGATGATTGGAAATAGATGGGAAGTGTTACAGATAAAGGTCAGATATCTGGCCAAGACACCTGGTAGAATATGTTTGGAATGAGATGTTTAGTTTACTTGGGGAAATGTTGAATTTAAAGAGACTGGTGACATAGCCAAGATATGAGATCATCGGCATAAAAATGGTCAGAGCATAAGGGAAACCAAGGCAGTAGATGGCGTTACCCAATGACAGTGTTTGCAGCAAAAAGAGGACAGAGCCTCAGAAACACACAGTACTTAAAAGGCTGGAAAAATAGTTCCAAGAGTAAAGATTGTATGTACACTGGGCAGAGTGGGTGGCCCACAGACTGTTTCTAGGAAGCAGAAGGTCAAAACCAATGCACTTAAAGGTCCCCGGTTCCTGTAAGCACAGCTGGATTTCAGGGGAGGGCCAACCATGGGCTTATTTGTTGAACAACCTTTCATAGTCTAGTTTAATGAGACTGGAAAAACTTCCTGTGGATGGACAGGCTAAAAGGCAGCTCTCTGGGAGTGGGAGGTGGAATATAAGGAACACAGACTTACTCTTATTTAGGAAGAAAAACTAAAGCATTACCCATTTGGAATCCCTTTAGTCAGTGTGCAGAGACATCTACCTTGAAAATTCCTTTTTCTTTGGTTAATAGCAATGAAGAGACAAAATCTTTAGGAGAAAGCTTAAGAATTAGTCCTGCTGTGATATTTTGTCTTCTTTTATTTTTCCCCCTTCAAACTAACGAAACAAGTTTTGGGTGGTTATAAGGAAAGTAACTTTTGCCAGCTGCCGAATTCAGTCTTATAAGGCACTGCTTTGAATGAGAGAAGAGAGCGTCAATCATTCTCCTTGGTTAGAGGACAGCGCCGTTCTCCTGCTGCTCATCATGGCTTGTCTGCACTATAAATATTTGCTGGTTTTCAGCTTACATTTGGCTGTCTTACTACTATTCTGTTTGTTTTTTTAAATATTTATGGTGCCTTTTTGTATCTTTTGTCTGGTGCCTTATCTCTGGTCTGATGTTTACAGAACCCATCTCTGCAAAGCCGGTGAAAGTGGATTTGGATATGAGCAGAAGCCGTGATTTGGCAACTCTTCTCACTATTGTAATCTTTTCAGATGTGCCTGAAGTTCCCTGAGTGCTCTGTGCATAAAGACAATAGTAATACGACCCAGTGTCTAAAAAGTACAGCAGTCACACAGCAAGTTTCTCTTAGAAATTGTCTAGCTAATTGCA